TAGACATATAGAAATTTTCTTTAAAAAGAGATTTCCTCATATAGTCAACCTAATGACTTTAATACGAATTGTAGGCTGGGTTGTATCTGCAAGTGGGGCACTTGCCCACTATTCAACCACTATGTTTACGATAGTGCATGACTATATGAAAGTTGAAGCTGTTAATATAAGCGTTATATGAACGTCAAAGCAAGAAAAGACGCTAGGTAAGGCTACGTGTTCCCACACTCGAACGTGATCGAAGAAAAATTACATTAGCAATTTTCGCAAATTTTATTCATCAGATAGATGCTATTATAGTATTTAATATGATAAAAAATATAAAAAACAGGGCAATCCCTTTATATACAGTTCACGATAATTTCATTAGTACCATTGATTTCTCACATGCTATGGGTGAGAGTTACATCAAAATCTTATTAAATAGCCCCCACCCAATGGAATATATTAACTCATTCCTTGGGATAAATCTTTTTGATGAAGCCCGTACTCCCAGCGGGCAGTGTCACATAGATCTAGATGGATGCTTCGCTGTATATGATTTCTACAGCCGCCTTGATAATATACCCTGCCCTAAAAAATACACATTGACAAAAAAAAGAGATATATAGTATAAGCAGCTTATAGAGATCTCCCAAGCGTACTATCATTATATTCTATCTATACAATTGACGGATTCAGCCCCTATACCTAAATGTATTAAATCGTCTTCTGATTCATCCTGTTATACTAGATTAGATAAGTACCGCATGGAAATACGTAAATGGATGGATTACCCGTATATTTATAGTTTGCACTTATGAATAAGACTAACACATCAATGAGGAGGTCTACGATAATAAGAAAAAGACCTGACAGTACCAGGATTAGAATGGACTACTTAGGGTGTCTTTTATATTTCAGGAAAATATATTGTAAAGACCGTTATCCCGCGCTGAGAATAGGTTACGGTGAATTGATCGACAGTTTATTAAGATGTAAAGAGTGTGAAATTATAGTGAATCTTATTATGTACCTGCTATTCAAGTACGCATACCCTAAAGATTCGGAGTATGGAAAATTCACTATTCATTATAGCATGGAAACCACAAGCGGTATAATCACTTATGCCCTAGCCCAAGCTATCACGATTAGAGTGGGTGGGGTAAATCAGCCTATCAGAGATATAGTTGATGAATATGTTAGGGAAAAGGCTCAGGCTTACGGCGATGTTGTTATAACTGACATATTCATTCGAATCTATTATGATCAAAACCACTCTAGTGTAGATATGAATATCTCTAATGATCAGATATCTCGCCTGATCGCTGAAAGTGTGGTAAGTGATGAGGTGTATGATAGTATAGCTCTACGAATGATTGAAAATTGTAAACCTAAGTACCTTAAGCATATCACGACTCAAATCTAATTGCAAGGAAAGAAGATCCTTCATTGTTGTAGATACTGAAACCATTCCCGTAGAGTCCGATAATGATCAGATAGAGAAAGTGCACATGCCATATGCCATGGGCTTTGTAGTGGTCAAACCCGGCTCTGCCCTGTCTAAAAAGCAAGTTGGTAGTATTGAAACATATTTTTGTGAAAAGTATCTGATTTTTCTATAGGATACTTTTCCTAAAAGGATCTATAAGATGTTGACCGAGTTTATCGATCGTTTAGATCATGTAGTTTGCAAAGATACTTCTATTTATACTATCTACTTCCACAAATTATCTCGTTTTGAAGTTTGTCTCTTTTAGAAATTCTTTGCTAGCGGTTCTATTAAATACACCTTTCAGCCTCTTATAAAGGATCATCAGATATATGAGCTTGTTATCTATAATAGTAAGAAACTGCTATTACGTCTGAGGGATTCCCTCAAGCTTTTACCGGGCCGGCTCGATGACTTAGCTCTAAAAACATCAGTGTTGAGTCCTCATCATTCAAGGACAATACCTTTGTTATCTTAAAAAATTTCACCCTTTTACTTTCAATTTTGCTAGGCATAGCTGGTGCATGTCCCAAAATTTCTAGTCAGTTAGGGGCTATTTTAAGACATCACTAGATTCAAATTAGTATTTCGAGTTGGATATTTGTTTGTATTGAATTCTCACATTTAATATTTTTAGTTTTGTACATGGGTATTACCCAATCATTTTAGATATACTTTATTATTAGTAGACGTATCAGTTATTATTACTCTCATTATGCTCATGTCATGCCAGTCTACGAGATACGCTTGGGACGTAACTATCATCTAGACCCCTCTCTAGTTAGATTGTGGTGTACTTATTTTCCTCAAAGTTCTTCTCAATTGTCGATCGTAGGGGGTTAATGATTAGCCTTGATTTCGTGTACTTGACATATTCTACAGTTGAAACCTGTAGAAAACAAAAAATAAAAAACATAAATCATGAAATACTTGACTTAAGTTTATTAATTTAGTTAAGCTTAATTTAAAAGTTATATTCCTTGGAAGCAACGCCAAAATTTGATAGGATAAAATTACACCGTAAAAAAAGCATAAACAATCATTATCAAGTAAAAAATCAAATTTGTAAGTTAGGTTCAATCGCACGAGGAATATGGTTTAGACACATAAATACTCACAATTATCTCTTTTTAATAAAACTATTTTCGACATAGGTAAACAGGGTTTTTTGTAAATAAAGTAACAGGTTGTTCATTTGAATCAATAAGTAACAAGTAAGAAACATTCATTGTTTTAGATATCATTAGAAGATGGAAACTAGGGTATATGTGTTTCCCACATGATTTTAATGTGGTAATCGTAATAGTAGTAATCATTTCCTAGTGTTTGACATGCAAGGTTGATAAGTTATGTATCTCTAAGTTATTGGCTATCATCATAAGGATTTTCACTCGTGACATGGTAAATCTACGAATGTGTGCATTACAAACCCTTACCTGCACCCACAATTAGTCATTGAGTTAATTAAGCTAGGGTATTCGCCCTTTTCTCAATTGATTAAAGTCAAACTATTAAATAGAAGAAAATCCCTAACTAAATCTCTGTTGTAAAATATTTTTCTCAATGATTACCCCCTTGGTAAGTTAAAGTAGGAATGAGGTGAGTTCTAAATAAAAAGATTAACAATGCATGCATAAACACTATTACGTTACTTTGTTATTATTCATACTTTGTTAATTGGTCATGGTTCCAAAAACCCTAGATGTTGATTTAGTCACTCGTCATTGAGAGTTCACAATTCATAATTAAGATAAAAGAATTCATGAACTTACAATGATAATACAAGAAAACTGAAATCTTTAATTTAAAATTAAAAGTGAAATTTGCATAAACTAGGTTCCAAAAAAAATTGCTAAGTGTTAGAAAAATAATTCCAAAAAGCCAAAACTAAAGTATACAATAATGTATAACCCTAAAAAACGTATATAAAAACTAATATTCATAGTAAAAATACTCAACCAAGTAGGAAACAAAATAAGGAAATAATTGGTTAGATGCGGTTTCAATCGGAGGCAGAAGCTACAGACTGTGGATCCACTAATGGTCCATGGTCTCCTTCAAGGATTAACTCTTGCAAATTATTATAGGGACTTCAGACAATGGTTGGACCTATTGTCTTTGGACTTGACTACGTTTCCTTACTTGCCTTTACGTTTGAAGTAATTGAACTTCAAATTTCTGATTGCAAGTGATGGATGTATAGGACGGTCTATCATTCGATTTATACGTCATCGATATCCTCCGAGTTTCCAGACTTTGGTAAAATTTTTTGAACCATCATCTATGTTGCATCACCTACAGCCCATCAATGAACCAATTCTCCGTGGTTGGCTCCGTCATTGGACAATTCTGCATGTTTCAACTCTTATCACAGTCCACCGCATCCAAACTTATTTCCTACAAAAATTTTATATAATCGTTATTTCCAACAATAAAATAGCACTAGACATACACCAATTCTAAGTGAAATAGATCAAAAATGCTTTAAGCTAAAGGTATATCACTTCTCTTAATATATTTTATCTTTTTAGCGTCGTCGACTCATGATACCTATAGACCATACTGTGATGTAGTACTTATACTACATTTATGTATCTTTTTCTGAGAGAATTACAAGTAGGATCCACTCTCATGTAGCGTTGAATCCCTTTTGATCATCACTGACTTGGATCATGGTGAGTTCCTAGTGTCCAAAGACCTTCTGCTTTTTCTATTTTTTACTGACTTTTGTTTTGCATTTTGATTAGTTAGTCCATTTTTATATAGAGTTTCTATACTTAGTTCTTCATGTTCTAGTGACACCATGTTTGAAGATTTAGTTCTTATGATACTTTGTCGTTCTTCTCATTTTCAGGCATCTTTTATACATTGTATATCATGTTTAATTTCTATTTTATGGCCCTATTTTGTATCTTTATTCTTGTTTCCTCCTGCTATTTATCGTTATATTCTGATGTTTTGTAAATTTAGGTTTTTTGTCTTGCCTAAAAAAAGGGTTATGATAAGCGTCATCACGATAAATTATGAGTCATATCATAGACTTTGAATAGTTTAGTGTATATCATATGAAATGAATAATCTCAAAAAAAAGGTGCATAAATTTTATTTGACTTTTCTTGTATCACATAAGTTATCTTTGAATACTAATTTGTCGCCTACCTCATCTCTTTAAAATAGAAAAAATTATTTAATTTTCATTTACTAAAAAGTAAATGTGGGCATGCGTAGTAGGTAGATACGCTTTTATTTTTCTCTATTTAAGTTGTGAAGTAGCTTCACTTTCTTCATACCATACTTTGTTTTATAATTTCATACTTACTAAAACGTTCTTCTTGCTAATCTACTACCTCCATAAGTCATCCCCCTCTTTGAATCCTCTTTTCAATTATGCTCTACTACCTCCATAAGTCTATCCCCCTCTTTGAATCCTCTTTTCAGCTATGCTTTTATAGAAAACATCATTAGTTTATACTATAAATTCATTTTCATTTTTTGAATTTAACTAGATATTAATATATACAGATCTAAAATGGGGGATGATAATCGGGATATAGGTGTAGTAGCAAGAAGTTGTAATATCAATAAACCTAACAATGTTGTATATCCCAAATTAGGTTTGAATGTGTCTCATGTTTGGAATTATTTTGACAAAACTTTAGCTCCTCGCATGAATAGTTTTACCGGTTCATCTGAAATTGTTTCTTTAGATTTTCCAATCATTCGCCAGGAAAGATCATATGACCAGGTTATCATATCGAACCAAAACAACAACCAAGAATTGTACTTACATTCAATTACACCAATTCAATTTATCCAACAAATAACTGTTCCTCAATCACGAACAATAGTGGAATGTGTGCCACCAACTACAACACAAGCAGAATGGATAGATAAACAAAAACAACTGGATATAGGGGCTAACAGTCATCCTAATTTTTCTTTTTCTATGACTACTACTTTGACCCAATCTCAAACAAGGTAACCACTCATTTCATTACGTTTTATGTGTGTATGATCAAAATTTTGATTTTAGTGCTTCTGATTCAGGAAAAACCACTCGATAATGCTTACCTATGAATCGTCGCAACAGGAACTCACAAATGACAAATGGGCATGGCGCAAGTATGGTCAGAAGTATATAAAAGGTTCCCCATTTCCAAGGTTTGCTCTCTCACCATTTTTTCATGTCATAGAAAGTTATGTTCTCTTTCATTCTCAATTTTCATAACAAAAAGTAGTAAAAAATTATTAATGGTATACACACTTATAATATTTGAATTAAGCTTATTATTATTTTGTGTATATGGCATAACAGGAATTACTATAAGTGTAGCACATCAAAACACTGTGAAGCAAAGAAACAAATTGAGAAAAGCTCAAAGGATGAGGACATTTTCTTGGTATCTTGTTCCGGTGAACACAATCATGATCCACCCAAGAGCCGTAGATATCTTGCTAGTTGCAACAATAATTCCAAATTGAATCTTCCAAAAGGCATAAATATTTCACCCAAAGAATCAATATTTAACGCATCATCATCCTTGTCCAAGCGCGTTAAGCATTCAACAGATGTTGCTTCTCCAATTATCGGAACTAAGCCTCCACTTGAAATCGGGAGCAAAAACAAAATGGTTGTTGCTGTCGTGCATAACATAGGTGATGGTGAAGAAAAGGTAGACATGAATGAAGATATTTTCATGGGTATTGATCAACTCTAAATTGTCACTACTTCCACCTAATAGGAGGAAAATGACAAGAGAAATTAACTTTTCTCCCCTCTACACCAAGTTTCTATGTCGACATATGTGGTGATATAGTCATTCTTCTGTTTAAGGTTTTTAGAGTGGGAAGTCAAGAATTATAGTTTTATATTTTGCTATGATTAACTATTTAAATCATAGAAAAAATGGATCTCTTTTAGTGTAGTTATTTTCTATTGTTTTTCAATTCTAGAATCTAGTATTTGTAGCAAGTTGTTGTTCCGTTTTCTCAAACTGTTCTCTCTTTAAGAAACCTCATTTGACTTAATTTTTACATTAAATTATATAGAGTAGTATATTATCATTGTTCATTAAGAGATCTTCATTTTTTCACAAATAAAGATCTCTTGTATAATGAACATAAAATAACACTTATATATATATAGACTCACCTCTCAGACGTAAGTCATTCGAAATATTTTAGATTTTTTCTCCTCCTATTGATTTGAAAATTATGATACCTTTAAATATTGTTACGTGCTGTTAGGAGATTTCTTGATAGAGCGTGCACAAGAATAATATTATGTATATTATTATCAAATATTTGACTAATAATTATTTTAAATTATAGAGTGTTTATATAAATATCATTATTGAGATCATTTTAATCTAGCCAAATATTATTCATGAATTTAAATATTATGCATGTATTAACCGTGTTAAAATATTGTCACATCTAAAAATATAATGATCTTGCGGATAGTATTTATTATTTGAAGAATAATATATGCAATATGTTATAATCTATTAAATTATATTTGCTGATATAATTTTGTCGTAAGTCATTGATGACCCCTTAAATTTGTTTGTATATTTTACTTAGAAACTTTAGTAGACCATGTTTTCTATTAGACACTCTAATATTAAAAAATAAATATCCATTGAATATTTTTGTGATACTTAATAACATTACTAAATGTGTGTAATACGCTTGCATATGTTATGTCAAAATAACAAATCAAATGAAGTCACGTGGCATTTTTAAAAAAAATCTTGAATATAAACAAGTTAAATTTAAGAAGAACAGACTTTCAAATTTTATTTTTTTTTAAAAAAAGATAACGAAAATATGCCGCCCACCCCAAACCTCCCCCTTTCTTCACATTCCCTGCTAATCAGTCACGTAAGTTTTAAGATATATTATATATGAATTTATTATTTTTATTTCTCTTTATGACTTCTTTCTTATTCCTATCAAAATTTATAATGCTTTCTTAAAAGATCGGTTCTTCAGTTGTTAATTTAATTTTGTATTTTCTTTTCTTTTCTTTTTGTTTCTACATTGATTCGTTGGGAAGAAAGGGTGTAGATCGAGGCGGTATGTGTGGTGGAAGGTGAGCATGGAGAAAGAAAATATTTAAAAATAACTTCAATTTTTTCAGCAATGATGATGAAGATGGTGGTCTCCATTGTTTCCGAAAAAACCACGGGTACGTTGATGTGCCCTTGGTAGGGAGTTATCTTCCCCCAGGCCCAGACCTAAGACCACACACCCTTATCTTGGCAATGGATCATGTGGTCATACCTGGAGTCTATGTAGTAGCCTCCCTAACAAGACCTTTAAACCCCCGCGCCCAAGTAAAGAGCATGAGGAGCCTCATGGTCTGTGATCCTTCACAAGACCGTGGGATGGTCCTTGATAAGATAGACAAGAGGCCCCCCCCCTCCGCTCACACCTTCTTGCAAATCCCAAGACTCCACAACTTCTAAGTGAGGACCACGAGGAACTTCATTTGGCCTGTTTGAAGGTCCATGAACAAGGGCTACTAGACCCCAAAACCCAAGTGAGGACTACGAGAAGCTGAACTACCCATGCTCCCTAACACAGTAACAATTAGGGCCCATGGACCGGACCTGTAGAACCTAGTGAACTCTGGACAAAATACAATGATCCACTTAACAATATATGGTCCTTTTAACGGTCCGTAAAAATGGTCGTATTAAGCCCCATCAATAATTTAAGGTAGGGGCATTTTTGTCTTTTCCTATTTTATTGGACCCCTAAATTAAGTCATTTAAACCCTAAGCTGCATGGTTTTGTTTAGCTTTAGCATAGAAACATAACTACAACTTTTCTAAGAAAAAATGTTTCTGGAAAACCTATTAAATTAGAACCTAGAGATAAGAAAGAGGCAACAAAACCGAGTTCAATATCGCAACAAAATTCCATCTGTTCAAGTACAAAGTTTGAATGTTTTCTACGAGAAATTCCTCTCCAGGTATGTGGGATTTTTTAAAGGGTTCCTTTCGCCCATTATGTCCATATATTTCAGTCAAATTATTGAGTCCCTATTATCAACTAGACCTAGGGTTTCTATATCTTCAGCAGATTATTATGTGATTTCTTCGTTTCTTGCATGAAATCTAAAAACCCTAGCTATGTATTTATTTGGTTCTTCAATTACACATGCTAGGTCATATATTTCAAATATACATGCCTCAGTCTTGAATGTATCATTACAAGTATATTAATATGTATTCCTAGTTTGCATGTCAGTTTTGAACTATCAAGTATATCAGATAAATTCAGTCATAATACGCTAGACATTTAATAAATTGGGAGTGGCCTAACACTGATTTAGACTAGGGTCAGTCATCTATATTGTACCCAAACTACCAACAACGTAGGTTGTAAGTCCCCTATATGGGTATCATTTTAGTAATCACACCGGAATACATCTACATCTTTGGTCGGGTATATAAGGTCCCCTGCATGCGGCATATACATTGGAATCCACATTTATCTCATGTGATTTTAATATCAGTTATTAGTAGCTCCCATAGTTCACTATGACTCCATTGTATTGACCATATTTTAATATTGTTAGTATTTAGTCTCATTATGTTATGATTTTGTAATTGCATTAGCTTTCTCATTATTCGGTATCTATATCATGTTTAGATTATACTCTAGTTTGCTTGTTAAGTTATCCTGCATGCTCATTACCTTTCAAGTACTGACTCATACTCTGCGCTATATTTTCTTGTGATGTAGGTTCAAGTTCTCAGTATCTAGATCGCATTTAGATCGATTCCCCATCTGAAGTTATAGCCATCGTTGTATGAACAACCCAATCCAATGAGAATTTGTGCGTAGCTTCTAGTCTTTGACATAAAAAAGAAGGTTTGAATTCCAAAATCGAAGGCGCAACTTGTAGTCTACAAAAGCAGTTATAATGCATTTTTAGGGTGGGCTCTGGTCTGGCCCAACCCTTTCAATAATATCAATATAGCTCTTGTATGTCGTGGCAGTGAGGGGTCGTACATACGGATAGAAAGAGATCCCTCGTATTTTTCCCATATCATTGAGAATGGATTCTGGGCTAAAGCCATTTGCCAGTAAAGCGCTCTCCATTTGTTTTTCTAAAAAAAAAATTGTTATTCCAATGTAGCATTTATTTGCCATTCTTTCTAGTTTTTTCTGATTAAGTTCAAGTGGAACGCCAGCCGGCTATCTAGCTCCTGACGCCTTTGGGCATCCTGTAACAATGGGAATGGGTAGATCACCGCCCCAACACCAACCGCTGCTGCTGAGGGGGAATTTTTTCGGGCTTCGTTCACACTCGATTATGATTTCGAGCGAGAAGTTCCCAAATCTTCAAGCGCAGCAGCCCACGAAGACAATTGTGTTCGAGAAGTTCCCCAATCTATAAGCGCGGAAACCCACGAAGACGGTTGTGTTAGGTCATCAGAGGGAGAGGGGACCAATACTGGCTCTTTGTCGGGGCTTTGTGGGATTAATTGAATGGATAGCCGATAGCCATAATCTTTCCTTAGAACATCTTCTACGACGATAGGCATAAAATCATGATTAGTTCCACAAATCTCACTTCACTGACCATAGTAAACTACTTCTCGTTGTACCGAAATAGAGGTCTGATTTAAACGACCCGGTACAGCATCACATTTGACACCTAAGGAAGGTACAACCCAACTATGAGGTACATCAGCAGATGTTATAATAAAACATATAGGGCTCTTTGCTGGTAGAACCACTCTATTGTCGACTTCTAATTAACGTGATTGACCCAATTCTAGATCATCTTCTGGAATCGTTTAATTGTCAAAAGTGAGTGACTATTCATCAAAACTGTTATAGTCCGAATACTCATAAGGTAGGGTCCACATCTGCCTCCCCCCAAACTGTACTTTCAAGTTTCCCCGCAAAAAGCTCTCCACGCCTACTCTTAAAAAGAACAGTATTTTTCTTTATTTAGGTACTTCTCCCGACTGTAAGACCATTTATGAGTAAGGTTAATCGAAGGCCGAGGAAAGTTTATTGGCAAGAGGGAACCATTTCTCACCCAGCGCTACCTATCCTATGTATTCGAGGGAGAGGCTGGAACCGAAAAAGACCAGGTTCCACACATATGAGACATGCAGAAGGTATGGGATGAGCAGTTTCTTGAAGAGCGAATTCGATTCTATAGTCGTCTTCTTTGTTCGTAAAATGCACAGTGGAAAGGAATGCCAGTCGGCTCGATGAAGTTGTATCCTAAAAAAAGAAGATCCAGAGTGATTCCTCACCTATCCTGTCAGGGGCCGAGTGGAACATTCGAGTATAGATTCCCTATGCTCATGTAAGCGGCCGGGGCCGGACGACCTATAGATCTAATAGGATCCAGCCATAGGCCTGACCGAATATCGTTTGTCCACAAACAAAACAAAAAAAAAAGGTTGGTTTTTATTAGTAGTTCATATGACCTCGAATTGCCATGTTCCAGTGTGCATTATGCAAATAGGTCCCACCACCAACTCTAGCTGAGAAGTTGAGTCACCCTTCTTTTTTTTAGTAAAAGAATAGAATAAAGAATGAGATAGTCTATATCCTGTATCGATCATACGATCACTCTATGAATAGTTTAATTCTCTGTGACCTACCACTGTTCACGACATCCCTAGATTCTCACAAGAACGAATCGTCGGTGGAGGAGCACTGGTCCCCTTCGGTCAACTTG